TATATATTTCTACTTATATTAATAAATTGCTAGTGGCGTTAGAAGAGGAATCTCTGAACGTGTAGCGGTATAACGTTAATTTGACGGATCCACACTGCGCAGTTCTCATAAAGTTGCTCCGTCCATATCGATGTTTACAAACGTCAGCGAATTTAAATATCGACTATTCTCACCCGCAGTTATTTTCAATTGATAAATGTAATCTTTTTTTAGTAAATGCATTTGGTTTGGCTTTTTTTTTTTACAAAATCACCAACCGACGAAAATACGAAAGCGCACCAGAGATAGGTTTAAGTCGAAAAATAATAATAGTAGTAATGGTATTTTTCTGTCTCTCTGAGTGGAGAACAATCGTATGTCAATGCTATTTATACTGTGTATCGAACTTTCAGTGACCATTTTGAAAACAAGCGTCGCTTAATTGGTCATTGTCTTTTTATCAACTTGACTAATTTCATGATTAACTTATGTGACTATGGAAAAACACGTTCAGTTTGTTTGGCGTTTGTTTTCGTTTCGGAGAAACAGAGACGACAATCCATGTTTCGTTGTAGAGCGCTTAAAATTCTAGAGACAGTTTTCAGGGCAAGCTAACCTTAATAACGCAAATAATATTCATCGTCTCTCATCAGCGTACGTGTGTGTCATCAACGATTCAAATGAAAATAATTAATTATTAAATTAGACGAAAATTACATTGGATGGTTAACATACGGCAGCACACTCTAACTTTGCTACAGTTCTGTCCATCTACAAATTCGTTGATTCTCATGCCACCCTTCCAAGTTTCTTTACTTCTACGCTTTATGGGAAGTTGTGTTGCATAAAATGACATTGGCAATTACACTTGGGATATGATAGTGCGTTTTCTATCTGCTTACCTAACAGTATTCGATCAAGCAAGCAGAGTTTTTTTTTCCTAACTTACTTTTTCTCCATGTATGTAGAAGCGCATCTTTTGTTTCTGTTTGCTACAAGGCATATATTATTATTGTAAGCGTCGCTGTTACGTATATGTTGGAGTTGCTACTGTGTTTGCTCGCCTTACGGTCTATATAGTGCGCCTTCCTCCATACAGCAGATTTATAACGATAAAGCGTTTGCTAACACGTATTTTTCGACGATTCGTGTTGTAGCGTTGTGGCCGCGTGCCGAAAGTAAAATGTATTGCTGTTTCCTGGAAGCTTACAATAACCTCCGTTCAAAACATCGTTTCTATATACACTAAAGTCGAAAATAAATAACCAGCGCGTCTGCTCAGCCACGTAAGCATGTGTATATTTGTTTATCCAGTTGGAAGCATAGCATTTTCTCGTTCTTGTCCGATTCATGAACATATCGTATACATGTATAAAACGAAGACAACCTCCCATGCTAACGAAGTAACTTACCTTACTCGTCCCACAACAAAAGGGGATGATTAAAGCAGGATTAGCACTTAATCAGTTTAGAACTGGGCGCGACCGCCCCCTCAGTCAGCGTATTAAGCAGCTAGCGATTTCCGTTAGCAATAATAGGGACAGTGCTTCCTTTGCCTCATGTCTACACGCTCGTTTATCATTTGTTTCTGATTGATATAGCAGGCTGAGGGATGAGGCCGGGCCCTTCTTTGTTTGTTTGCCATTGTCTTTTTTCCGTTTGTTATCGTCTCTCGCTAGCAGCAACAATGAACAGCTGCTAGCTTCACTCGTGTCACTTTTACCTATATTCAACTAGCCATTATATTCTTTGTTTTGTACACGGTAGTATTTTTTTCATACAATACAATTTGTCTTACTCCTTGTAGTAAAATGCTAAGTAGCCGCAATACAAACTGAATAACACGTAGATACACAATGTCCACAGGCTGTGATAACAGCTATTAAAGAGAAGAGCTAGTAGTAGTAGTAGTAGAAGCTATAATTCAGCTCCAGAAAAATGGCTTAAGACTACGTGTTCGAAGCTAAGATTCGCTTAACAGTTGTGCCGAGAAAAGATCACTGTTGTATATATATATTATTGCATAATAGTAGAATTCGATAACTGTTTCAGCTGGTACGGTGCGCCTCTCCATCCTTTCTCGCTACTCGCATTGAAATATTACTATGTTTTACAATATTATGCGATCTAGTTGATCCTCTACTATACTTCGCAGTAGTATTAATCTACTGGACAATGTATATATATATATATATATATATATAGGATGTATGCTATCTACTTTATTTGAACTCATTTCTACTCTGAAACTATTATTAGCATTGTTTGTAATGTTAGCTCCGTATAGCTGCTATATTACTACATGTTATGTCTGGGTTACGCATGAGCGTTTTCGACATTTGCAACACGTACAAGTTTCACCTATTTATAAAAACACTGGCAGCACTACTTCATTTCCATCCCATTGCCATGCTTTGTTATGCGTAACAATCTTGTGAGGTAATTTTTAATCTCCTATGTTGTCTCCCTATGTAGATGTGTCTACCAGATGGAGCGTCCGCTGCGAAAGCGTAAGAATTGTTGTTTTATTAAGTATTACAGACTGAATCTACGGCTTGCCTTCCTGTCTCAGTTCAAAGTATGAACCTAAAAGCTAAATCGATCAAAAGCTACTTGAAAAATGGGAATGAAAAAGATATCAATGAATACTTTTTGTACTAGAAAAAAGTGCTTCCAAGTATAGAACGCTTGAATCGAGTATATGAGTGTATGAGCTGAGACATCAGTGGAAATGCGCAAACAAGTAAAAAAAATCAAAGACAGAAGATGTATAAGGAAAACTCAAACGAAATTATGTGACATGGTCTTGTTAACAAAACATAATTGAATCTTTATTCGATTCACATTAACAATCTTGAACATAACTAGAAATAAGTAGATAAATGAAATGGGAACGATGCTACTGATGACGTGAAGGTTTCTCGAACCGATTTCGAAAACGTAAAAAACGACGACGTAAAATACAACGAATTAATAGTCTTTGTTTGTTAAATCTTCTAACTGTCCCGTATTTTTTCGATAAATACCCGTACGCAATTAGTAGTTTTTGTCACTGGTTTTTTTCTCAACGATAACAAGCTTTGAAAAATGGGATTGTTTTTTCGTTTAAATCTGGCGTTACGCGTCTTTTATAAAAATTGCAAGTGATGCCGAAACCGGAAGACTATGTAGCTTCACTATCTTCTATTGAATAATATGTATGATAGTAGAGGAAAACGCTGATAATCGTTGCTTTTCCTCAGTGTGGATTTGTATATATCTTAGTCAATTCGACAGGCAAAGCCATAAAGGGCAGTTCCGTTGAAAAACAGCAAGAACGAAGAACGTATAACGTCCAATGTCATAAAGAAGAATTGTGCTGATCAAAACTCACGACGGTACGTCAGTCGTCATCGGGTTCGGTGCACTAATTAGTTGAGAAACCTAGCCTGCATTTTGAGCAGATAAACCGCAGTCAATGTTTACTGATCCACCTAAACACAGGCTTGATACAGGCAATGACTACTGGAATCTTTCCCCGAAGCCTTGTTTGCAAATTAGGTCGGAACTGGTTGGCAGAAAGCTGTCCTCAAGCTCTGTTCCTTAGGCAGCGTATAGGGTTATTTCATACTTGGTCCAGGATAATCAATAGAAGCAGACTTCCGAATTAGACCCCGAAGCTTCCGCAATAGGGGTTTAATTACCCAAAGAAAAACGACACCACCGAATTCCCCATCTTCGTCGACCACTGATAGCAGTAATTCAGCGAACGCATTTACTGAAGCAGAATATAAAACCTAAAGAGCTCTTCTTCCGTAGAATCGAATGATCACTATGACGTTGGATTTGAGACGTCGTATGTTTACCTTGCCAGTAACAAAGGTTTGACTTTCTCTATTTGTTTGATGGGCGTTTCAGAATATGTTACATTGAACCCTTACAAACTGATCTTCAAACGACGTTTAACCTAGAAACTGCATTATCTACAAACATCGATTTTTTTAGAAAAGCCACACGTGATTTATATATGTATATATATATATATATATATATGTTCGCTTAATCTTTTTCTATCCACATGAAGTGTTCCCAACAAAATTCCGAAAGCAGGCCCATGAAACAATTTGACATGTATCAAGTTAATTATTATTAGTATAATTGCCTGCCCGCTTTCAAGCGTCATTTCGGCTACCGTGCTTTTTTGGGCGATTAGAAGAACATGCCCTCTCAAAATCGGTGCCCCTTACCTCGCTCGATCCGCTATACGGGCTCGTTCCAGAAGCCTTGACACAATGAAGCAATGCGATCATATGCTAATAGGACACCGATAAAGCGTTGGCGCTGTTGTTCTATCTATTCTTAGTCACGCCTAGTTTTTTTTTGTTTTCTGAAAGACTGCTTTTCTAATTGCTACAAGTTACCACTGCTAACGCCTTTTCTACTGTTTTCTATATACCGAGACGCTCACAATAGAAAATTCACTTATATCTAGTTTTTCTACTTTTTCTTTTAGCTTCAAAGCAGGCATTTCTCATCTCTAGGCAGATCTAGGTTTACAACCTCTTCCACCGCTCGTTCCTCGACTTTTCAAATGTTCTTCTACTCACTACTTTTAGTGTCCTTAACATGTATCCATAGCATTACCTTATATCACGTTGTGCTCGTATTGTTATTATCTACGGGCATACATCAAAGCGGTGTTCATATATAGCCACAGTGAATAAACGCCCAGATCCATCTGATTAGCTGTTAGTAATAACAATAACATCAATTTCAGTAGTTCGATTAGCGGCGGTCTCCGCTACGCTTAATGTCTTTGTTTAGTCTCTTTGCTTTCTTTTCATTTGATCGCTTTGCATCGATCATAACATCATGCCTTCTTACTACGCCATGTTCTACTATCCAGTTTGACATCCGCGACCCAACCTTCGTTGCACATCAGGCTTGCTCTCCCATCAGCCAAAGTCGCAATGAAGCTTCACATGGCGACTTTATCGGTCAATTATATATAGTCAATATAGGGTGTAGATATTGCCCCGCTGTTAACTTTTCCTAGAAAACCGAATCAGCACGCGCAAAAGGGGATGATATACATATCTATATAGGGAAGACTTATTCTGGCGGGCTGGGGTACAGCATGTCCGCGCACACGGCAACTAAACGCCTAAGCGGCTTCCCTAACTAGGTTTAAAACGGACCTTGTCCTAGCCTCGCTCTATATCACTATGTGTTTATATATGTTATATAGTCATGTGTAGATAGGCCACTAGACCCAGACAGCTAGTAGTTAGTTGTATAAGAGTAAGTGCGTTTTCTTTTTCTGATTAGCGTGAATTTTGTCCCACTGCTCGTAAGTTCATTTTCGAACTAGATAACAAAAGATTAACTGCATCGTAATGGATTTGGTCTACTGTCTTTACTACCTATTACGATGTCTAGTTGCATCCGCGTTACTGTTCCGGAGGCTCCCGGATCACACGACCTTCTAACGGTTGGCAGTTTCGCCAGTTTTTGGTAACCGGTCCGTCGATCGCAGTGATATTATTCTCATCTTCAGTGTATGTCAGCAATGAACGGAACGCATCCAACTGAAATACGCAACATACGAAAGCCACTTAGCGTATGTTCAATTTCAGTGGAACAGTTCAGGAGTGGCAATAGAGCATTCTCCTGTGTATAAGGTAATATAAATTTAAGATTACCTAATAATAGCTCGTTAATTTGATCCGATAGAAATATTGTTTATTTCAGCCCCGCAGGAAATGACGCCCTCGATAAGATATGCATTGATTTGCCTTACTTAGCCAGTACTCTACGTAACTAAAAGTTTCTCCATTTTCACATTAGGGGAGGTAATGCCTTACATTCTGATATACGAAACGGCCCGAGCGGTTAAGATTATATATTCTCTCAGGTAGAATCTATAGGTCAAACTAGAGGGACAAAGATAATGGCGATGCGATGGATTACAGAAAAATTACGTAGTTGATGCGTGCACTGGAGGGGAAAATGGCAAGTTGACATCATAACTATTTCTCACGTCGGACATATGAAGTTACCAGAAATAAAAAGCATTCGTAATTAGTTTGTATTTAAATGACAGCTTTACCAGTGATGTAACGCTATTGTACCTGATCCTTAGAAATCTCGATCGGCTGTTTAAGAACGACCCAGGATACGCTCTCGTAACATGGGGGAGTCGTCAATGAGCCCTCATAGGTCCAGTAGTTGTCTGTGTCCTCTAAAATATTAATCAAATACGAAAGACATTGTAGCAGTTTTGATTTTCACATCATAAAAGTAGGAGGCTTATTCGAATTGAAGTCATTGAACCGTACTCATAGATGCGCATTGATCATACCTGACATGGTCAATAGAATAATGGAAATACGGAATTACTAAAGAATAGATGCAAGAGCAACAAAGCTACCCATCTTGCTTCACGATGGAAACGTCTTTCGCGCTGCCCACCCACATATCAAAAACGTCAGCTCATACCGTGCGTACGGACACCTAAGCCGACAACAACGCTTCTCCACAGATTCCGCAAATATGGTCAATTTATTTATATACGTATTCTAGATGTTCGCGGGCGGCCAAGCAACTTCTGATCACAAGAGGTCAGCGGTCGCTCTTTCAACTTCTGCCAACGATGCATGCGATAATGCCTGCACGTGCTCTTCAATTCTCCCTATCTATGTCATTGTAAATATTTATAGACAACACGTCTCATCTAAGTTATTATATACAAAACAATGTTGTACGATCGCAGTCTAGCAGTCTTTTTGGTTGTCGACCAAACTTTTTGCGAAGTTGCATTTGTCTGCTAAAGTCTGTACGATATTCGTTTGGACTCTAGTGCCAATAAAGACCTATCGTCTAATAGAACGTGTTCAAATAACTTTCTCTATCTGTACTTGGCATGGCAAATGTTTGTCAACACTGGACAATTCAAGATAAATGATTTTATAAACAGGTTCATGATGAGCTTATAATCTACGTATACCGACAACCCGTGCCCCGGTGATGAAGGCAACTCAAGCCAAAAGTAAACGTTGGGCGCGCTCTCACAGTGCCTCATTTTTTTGCCAGCTATGCGTTGGTAAAGGTACATCAGATCTATCTCTACCTGTATGTATTCGTATGTTACACCTTGTTCGAGTCGGACAGAGCCAACAAGTTGGCTTTTAGTTTGTGTAATCATCCACCTATGGTCTTCTATCCGGTGCAGCTTTTTGTCCATTTCAACCAGAGCTTAACTTAATTTCCAATCTACCTTCTGTTCGAAGGCGCGGAGTCTTGCGGGTTAAGAAAAAGGTCCGGAAATATCGATAGGTAATTATCGATTTCACCACTTTGGCAATATTGTCCAGTGGCGAGGATCTAGAGTGTTTGACACGTTCGTCATTCCTTTCAGAGCAGTACGACAGACGCGAATCCATTGCAATACTATTCAAATTGTAATAGTATGAAGAGCTGGCTGGACGATACAGCGTAGTCATATGGCTGTAGAAATTCGAACTGAATCATCCCAGTGGTCTTCGATCCTCTTTATGCGATCATAATATACGGACGATCGAATGGCATAATTTCGCATAGACATCAAACTATACAAATAAAAAATTAGCCAATATGTACTTTTTGTGAGTTGGCCTGAATCAGGCCGCTTTGATCGAGTCTGGCGTCCTTGAACCTCCATGTCGTCATCGATAATCAACAAATTAATCAATAGAATTTTGACATTGTTCCCCTGCTTTCGTTCAACTAGTTAAACGTACAATAGCGAAGTTCGATCGAAGCACAGCGGACAAATTCAATCACAGATATACTGACAACTAAATGAACATTGAACGATCGCTCGCCATACAGCTGAGAAAAGCATAAACTATGGACTTCTATAGATTGCAGTTCGGAATGAACTGAATGAAGTTTGCCACTGAAACGGAGTTGCGGTCGGAGCTTAAACAAACGAAGGCATGGTTTCGCTTACAGGCCAAGCCATAAAACTGAATATAAACCTGTCAGTCATATACGCCGCTGTTCGAGACTCGGTGCAAGCGAGAAGAACCTAGATCGTATAAACCTTGCCTCGTAAACAATACTCGTATATCCAGCCATCTTCTGAAGGCAATTGTTGTGATATTACATTGCAAATGACTTTTTGTCGTCCTCGCAAAGTGTTGTACGTATAAAACCACTATTTTCGTTCAACTGGCGCCAGACGGCGTCATGTACGATGTGTGACTTCGGCATGTTGACGCATTGACAACATGTGGGCTGCTGCTGCTGCTGCTGCTGCTGTGGCATTTGCTGGAGCCAGGGGCGCAGTCCGTCATAACAACTTCTAGGGCTATGTAGTGTTTGCTAATGTGAATAGAACGCGTTATAGGCAATAGAATAAAGCGTAAGTAGTGTAAAAGATACAGCTTCGCCACTGCTAAGCAACTGGAAGGGAATTTTTGACGAATTTCGTAAAGCGTTTTTCACTGGGGTTCGTGAGATGGCCGGCGGACACAAACTGAGTGTTTGAGGCCAAATATATAACAGACATGAACTTTATAAATGGGAATAACCATGACTGTCGCTTTCATATCCGACTCATCAATGAGCCAACGATATAAGTCTACGACACGACTACGGGCTGTCGTCATAAAAGATCGTAATAAACAGCGTCAAATTATCCGCCTAAATGGTATTATTAATATGTATAAGACATGTATAATTGACCGCAATAAATTTATAGCTTCACTTTACCAATGCCTTTTTAGTCTAATAACGAAAGTCCTATCGGTAGAAAATAGTTTATTGGAAGCAGTGTACAACTTATATTGTAATGAATTAATTATTATAATATAGATATATACATAAACACATATCTACGACTGTTCAAGCGCAGAGCCAACGGCCGTGAAACTCATTTCTATCGCTCTGCCGGCCTGGTTCAATCCGGCCTGATATTGTCCTCCATACGAAAAGTCTAGCTGATTCCATTAGTTGACTGGCTAGTAATATTCAGATATAATATAAACCTCTGTTCAAAGGCTTCTATAGAGTAAGTACAGAAGCGAAATATACATGGCTGTATAGAAGCGTACGTAAGAGATACATGTGTCAGCATATTCAGTTGTTTTGCTTTCTTTGCGATATACGATTAGCTTTTGCTAAGGCCCACTGGTGGGCTTCTGAACCACTGACATACATCGTCAATAACGAATCGACCCGTAATTCAACAATAGGGCAAAATGCAAACTTCGTTTTTGTCAACAAAGCAGGCCATTACGGAAGAGTCCCGCGTCCTGACCATACATGGTCAACAGAATGTGCGCCAAAGCTAGCAGAGCGGCAGGAAATATTATTGGTTATAACATTATTCAGTTTTTCAATATAACGGCAAACTATGAACCAAATATAATCATTACACAATTCGCGAAGAACGAACTTACTTGGAAGAAAGGAGCTGATCTGGAATGGCGATGCTATATCTTCACATTTGCATCCCTTATGTTTGACGCAGCTGAGCACTTCGCAGAGCTTTTCAAACTCAGGATGCGAACTTCCTTCCTGAAATTTCCGAAAATTATATTCAATTTACGTACACATAGAGCGAGATCGGTAGATTTCGGGCTTTCACTAAGCTTCGCAAAGCTAAGTTTTAGTCGTTGAGTAACGGCTTTCAGAAACGAGTAAGGTTTACTGGGCAAACAGGTGCCCGGAAATAGATTTGTGATTATTTAGTTAAAAGTTACAACCGTACCACATTAATTTGGAAGTTAAGATCCAATTAGTTTAAGGCTGTGTTAATGCTCAATAAGAATTGTTTCCTGTCTAGACCCAGCCTTTAAGGCGCACATTTAATAATGCTTCTTATCATTTCAGCCAGTGGGCAGGTCATTGCATGGTCGATAACGTTAAAGCTGTACTCTGTACCTGTCAGCAGTGATAGAACATCATGGCAGATCAATGTGCTCAGTCTGCCCGTACGATGTGTACATTACACAATGACCCCAAAATACAACTACAAAGGCTGGATGCACCGCTTCAGGTGTAGAATTTATAGAGCAATAACTTATCGAATTTTTCTCTCAGACAATTTTCGAGAGTAGCAGCTGCAGTCACCAAGCAAAACTTCGTTAAAAAGCGACCTCTTCTATGAATTACCCCCTAGTCGTATAGGACATAGTTAGGATAATTTAAGAAAGTTACTTAACAAATATTGCTTTTATCGATTTTTCAACGAATACCGTTTTTATTCATAATGACAGTAATAATAACATCAGTTGGACACAGCTGCTTACCTTAAGGAAGATCCCGACCACTGCTAGGCCACTCTCGGAGCTCGCAGCCTTGCCAGGGTCATCGTAGAGGTCGATGTTGTAGTGGACCAAATGTAGTTCGCCAGAGAAAGTTTCACCTGGTAAAAGCAGCAGCGAAAGTGTTGATCTTAGGATCTAGGATCCTAGGATCCTGCAACCGATACGTCAATTTCAACTGAAGTTTAAACATTTGACTTTTCAAATAATTTTCAGTGACCGAAGAAAAAGCTAGCTAAAGTATTTACTTGTGGTCTCAATTGAATCAAAAGATGTAAACATAGCAGGGAGGTTTACCGTCAACCGTATGCTCGGATCCATCGCAGCACGTTTCTCCCCAGTGTGAGTGGAACTGCACGAGACGATACCGGTGGCTTAGCGGACCGCCCTCAAGGTCTGTTGGGTGACAACATATGAGAATGCGTTTATATATATATGTACATATACGTACATATTAAATAGCTGGAACTTGTTGATTTCGTTTGCGCTACAAGGTCAATGAATCTATGAACTAGACTTATGTTCGAAAGGAAAAAACTAACATCTCGCACTAAAAGCGCGCGGTCCCTTTAACAGTTTCGATGATATTACGGATGAAAGTACTCACTATGATTCAAGCTGTCGACGTCGACACGCCATCCAAATCCACCATTGGTTACGTGTTTTGTCAATACACCCTGTCATTACGTATAATATATTACTTAGTTGTTGTTATTGTTATTTCTGTCGCGAATGTCATGTTTCGCTAAATACACAGACGACTCAGTCGACCGTCAGATAGAGCTGCCAAACAGACCTTAGCACATAAGACAATGAATGGCAGGCCAAGTCGAATAGCACGCAGCCATATCTAAATATTCTGCACAAAACTCATCTGGTTTCTAGCAGCTGATTGTGGTACGCTGAAAGCTTTCATATGTCCCCGGGACGTGTCGGCATGCGAGTGCCCTCTAGCAGAGCAGATGGCGCCTGCTCTTGTTTGTTCAACCAGTACGTTTAGAACACTCAGTTGATAATCGAAAGAAGTAACCCACCGTCTATGGTTTTCGAGGTATGATCCGGGAGCAAATAAAGCGGGTTTATAAGATGCTACAAACAAATTTTTAGGCTAGGTTAAGAGGACGACACAGGTAAACTTTCTTCACGTAGCAACTGGTTAACCAAATTATCAAACCAAAGTCTTCATAAGAGCTTTAGCGTGATATTCAGAAGGTGAACATTGATTGATTTGACGATAGTTTCCTATCAGAACGAGCTGCTTCGATCCCAGCACCTGTTTTTAAGCATTCAATAGTTTCTAGATGCGCGTCTCCTAAAGATTTTTAAATCGCTCGGCCATTTTGTTCCTAAGCTGTCTGTTACAAATTTTCGTTAGAATGATAGTCAAGAAACATTATTTTCACCTGATAGTTGTACTTGAGTGGGCGCTTAAGAAGCATTGGATCTGGTTGAACGTGTGAGCGTATAATGTCCACAGGGCTTTGTTTCTGCCCGAGCGCCTGCGGGAAGGTCTTTCCCCAATGCGCCGGACCTGAAAATAAGGCAACAAGGTAAGTGTATCTATCCACAGCAAATCTCTAAAGGTCAATTTTCAACTGGGCAGCCCGTCGCCAACCTATTGTTAAAATTGAAATAATTGCTTTTAAGTACGCGCCAAATAAACAGAATAGCTTATTATATCTACCGTCTAATGATGTGTCTCAATAATTTCCATCGTAACGTATAATTTAGTTGGTTTGAATAAACAATTCTCAGCAATTCAATCGTTCACGCCGAAAAATGATATCAGGTGTATGCTTAGACTGCTGTTTTTCTTCAATCTCATAAAATGGCAATATGTTACGTTATTTTTTTTTAGTTATTGAAATACGTAGTGTCCAACCAGCACGATCACTGTAGCTTAGCACTTGAATAAAAAGAGCCCCTCTTCCAGTCTAAATTTAGGCCAAATGCGGTCGTTTGATTCTTCGCTAACCTTCAATGTGATAGCGTGCCGCTCTTCTACCGAACAGAAAACAGTTGGTGCCTTATAATATAAGTATTTAGCGTTTTTCCCTAGGCACTTTAGATCGAACCACCATTGGAACCCTAAGGATCATCTTTCGGCAGGCGTATCGCCTCAAGGCCAGGACGATTTAGCGGTAGCTTGACAAGCACCATTCACTGGGGTACCGCCAACATGAATAGCAGTGTTGCGCTTGTTGACAACTAGGGAGTTTCGAATACATGTCATTACGCCAGGAGGGGCGCGTATTTATATCCTAACATCAATATAATTATGTACTCCTCAAAGTAGATATGCGACCTTAGCATCTTTCATGTGGATATTCCACAATCAAGAGGACAACGAACGGTTACTTGTAGCTACTTGGCGAGTCGATCTATTTTGCTGGACATCTCGATTAAACAACAAGACGTTTGTCTGACGTTCAGTTTGAGATTGATGTACATCTGAATAGTACATCTGAGGACAATGTGAATTTACAGGATGATTTTTCGAAACCATATGACTTGTTCAATATTTCTATTTTGCAACGAATTTTTGCAAAAATTAAGTTGAGGCATACTTTATTCAAAAAAACATCGTCTTAATGCAAATGGATCCATCGTGTCATCTATATAATCTTAAATAATCGATTAAAATCCATCAAAAACGTTGACCCTCAACCAAGAGGTCACCCTTGAAACTCCTTGCACTTTCGATGAAAAAGACCGTTTGTACAATTTACTATCAATGTTTCGACAATAAGCTCTTATTTACTACTAACATTTTCCATTAGTTCAGCTTTTGTGCTCGACATGAACTATCACAAAATAGTTCTTAATCCGAACAGATAGTGCCGAATAGCTTTCGCAGTTGGTTTTTCTGTTAATTTTCCATCTTGCTGGGTCGGACAATGCAATGTCGAGAAAAAATATCGTTGGCAATATGAAATACCGTCTTATAGCATTAGATATTGAGGTTCTTCAAGAATGGCTCACGTACGCTACATTGGGGCGTGATCGGCTACGGATGACCAGCAACACCGAGCTAGAGAGCAGATAGAACTACGCTAGACAGATTCAGGCACTGCAAAAATAGCCGATGGTTCGTTTTCGGCCGTATTTATAGCAACGTTTGGCTGAAATGATCCAAATACTGGCTGCAAGGTTGTTTTTCGGCCTTAGTAGTTAGCGTACTTTAAAGACCCAGCGTGTTGCAGACCTAGTGGCGCGCTATAGGCAATCCATAATAATTTTCCGTAATTCACAACACCTCTATACTGAACAGTTGTTGTTTAATGCCAAAGGCTCTAGGTGCTTACACGGCAGCTGGACCTCCATAGAAGTTTTGCAGCGATAGAATTGAATGGGTTGCATCAGAGCACCAAGAGCGGCCAGTGTGCGGTAGAGTAACACCAAAAATCACCATAAATCCATGTTGTGTAATTGTGCATACTATCGAGAATTTTTCACTCACAACAACGATACGAGCCAACAATACGAGCATGCTAAGCTGCTTGCTCTTCTCAAATCCTGTACGTTAGATAGATTTAACCTATATAAACTATAATTTTATCTATTTGTCATAATATGCCTGTTCGAATCTCGCATTTCAACCTAAAAACAGTACAAAAATGTTGCGTGATAAACAAAATTGGGCTTGTTTTTTCGTTCAACTCGTTCATTGTATCTTTTGTGTGGCCTAACACCAACAACAACTAATATAAATTAACGCAATGATTATTTTGTTATTAAGATCGGCTCATTCTAATTACACCGGACGAACTGCGAGCTTCAGTGATCAACTGAGGAAGTGCTTCATAAAATTTCTGTAAAAGCGGTGCGGTCACTTTTAGCTCTGGTGGACCCAACTAAGTATCGATTGCGCGAAATTACCTCGGAAAAATGAATCTGGATAAATCGATAATCGAATTGGCTGGAATGATTGAATTCAGATAAAGCTGTTGTAAAAAAATGTCTTTAGAAAGTGGGGTACATCATGTAGGATCCGGCCATCAGAAGTTCTTTACGAAGATCAGCGATCATACCACGATACTGTGGGTAAACGTAGCATGGAGTAATTACGTTAGCGCATTAAGAGTGATTCCTACAACAGTTCAGGTATACTGTAATTGCTGAAGAAAATGGAACTGCGGACTACAGTATGGACTGTCCAAGTTCGTTCGCCGTAAGTATAGTACAGCAGGAAAGGAAACGCTATCATAAATATTTACAAACATGTAAAATTAAACATTGAAATACAAAACCCTTTTTCTCACTCTTCTTAGTATAAACATATTGTCAAAAGACAATTAAATACACTATTATAGACTAGGTATTAGAAATCCATCCAATGATGTTTTTGACAATCGCGTGGGTTGCCCATGAATCTTGTACACTCAATAACTCGCCTATGATAAAACGCAACTCGAGGAGGCAACGTACCGTCTTTTTGCACATGAAATACCCTGCCACCTTCTTTGATGGAGTCATGGCGTGGTTTGATTTTGAAGGCTGATTTGGTTGGTGTAATAATGGTCATGAACCCATGCGTCGCGTCTTGACCCTGAAATAGCCGGTACTTGTTGGCTTTAGACTGTCAAGGTCGGATACATTGTGTGGGGAATGCACGCGATACCCATCGTAGCGACGTTTATCGAAGGTGAAAGCCTCAACAAATGTTCCGAGTTAGGATAAAGTCCTTCAGATGCGTACGAGAAATACAAGAGGCAGTCCGGTCACCTTTTTGAGCTTCTGTAGTCTGGTCCCGATTACGCAAATTACTTTGATTCTCTCTTATTTCCGAGAACCCTTTTAAGGACAACGGCGTTTCGATATTTCTTTCGGGTTCATATGGCATTCCAAGATATTTTTAATAGGAGCAATCAGTGCCAACCATAGAGAAATTAGCGGTTAGAGGGTTGTGTTGACACGTTTGGCCAGATGTCGAATTTCGTATAACGTTCAGAATACCCAGGACGTTTTTTATCGGTGCGTATGGGACAGAGTCTTGATTACGTAACTTCTTCGTAGATACAGTCAATGTTCGGGCCTAGCAGAAACATGGAATAGCATCTCACATATGTGACCGGACTAAAAGCGTTATTTGATGACAGATATCTGTACAATACGGGGAAATGTTTCAGTTAGTTATTCACTGCCACAATAATGCTTTTCCTTAGCTTTGTCGCGGGTATATCAATAAAAAAAAACAGAAATCAGGCTAGATAGTGGCCTGCTGACAGCATTACCTGAATCCGATAAGCCTTCATTTGTTTCTACCTTTGTATCTGTCTACACGTATTATATTATGTTTCATTCATCAGCCTCGACGGAAACTTGAACTTATACTTAAAGCGCAACACCGTATCGCCAAACTGTTGGCGACTAAAAATCCAGTATATAATATCTATATATTATATATCTATATATATACTATATATATATATATACTATATATATATATATATATATATATATATATTATATAGTATATATCTATGATATTCGTGTCGTTACATTTTTCTCGGACAATTTACTTAGAGATGATAAATTTAGAAAATCCGGCGAATGTAGCCAAATATAGAGATATTTTCTTCAACACGATCGCAGCCAAGTTTGGTAGAACTGGATAAACAACGATTTGTTAAATCATCCCATGTTGCAATATAATGCACATTGTTGTTTGTGTATCCCGAATTTTTTTTTTACAAGCGTCGCACGTTTTTCGAATAGCTAATATTGTAACATTCCGAGCGCGGTGTAAGGCCTGTTGTTTCGTGTAAGGCATAAGAGGTACCTTGAAACATCATTAGTATCGCTATCACTGATTTATGTGAAGTATTGTTACAGTATTGAAGTCACAAGTGCTTGTCCGTTGGGCCTTGAGGCAATTAATCAGCTTTTAGTAAGCCCGTCCACCACAACATACGTCTATACATTGACAATGATGGCTGAAGATATACTTGACAACTGTGCAATCTCTACGCTGATAAACTTGTACAGCAAATGAGCAATACCAGTTAAAAGGAAAACAAAAAAGAAACTACCAATTATTTCGACATTACTCGTCACTCTTTACAGACAAGTTGTTCTACGGCATACAACTGGGATACCTACAAAGAGAGCCGCGATGAATTTTTGCCACTTCGAACTAAACGGAATAGTCTAGCTACGATTAATCATTGATTCTTCCCGCCAAGGGACTCCTGGGGGCTTTTGTCAACAACCGGTACTCGATCATTATTCATTTTACTGCTACTGTTATACCCTAAATAGCAAGGATAAGGACAATGATAGTCTTGACACTATGAAGATATTTGCAATGAGCAGTGGGAAGAAGATGCACCGATAAATGAGAATGGCCCGCAATTCAGCTGAAAAATTCTATACCTGTATATATTTTTCAATGGTGATTTGGTCCAAATCCCAAGATGAGGCACGTGTCTAGTCCGAGCACGATCTTCGTCGGTTTCAGACTAGCGGGTAAATAAATTACATATGAATATTAATGAACTATACGTTTCTACCACAAGAGGCTGAAGATAA